AACCTAATTTCCCTATTGCTGTGTTGTATTAACTGTAGATCGAGGTAAGGGGACGAGATACGACTGTACTGCCGGCAGTTTGAGGAATTACTGTCATTAGCGCCAGCCTTTTCGCGCATATCCACTTACACTTCTGTCAGAGAGGAGAGCATTGCATTTCAAGTAGTAAATGCTGCTGTTTTCGCTAACTTGCATGCCTTTTTGCTTTGCGCCCTGCTTGAACTCTTGTTAGAACACTGACTACATTCCTTAAGGATAACTACGACAAAATGTAAGACCTACTAACATTTTATAGGCTGGAAGAGATTACTAACAAAGACAGGAGGGAGACTAAAGTGACCGTTTCTAGCTTATCAGCCGTCATGAGCCAGACATACCCAACCCCAAGTGGTGCGTCCACCGGGGCTCGAACCCACGACCTGTTCGTGAGAAGTCCAACTCTCTAACCACTGCGCCACTGCTGGCGCTCAGCGATCGGTTATGGAACTCACTAGTTCTGTTTTGCCTTCGGCTTCTCTCTCTAGTGCCGCCAGAGAGCTTATGATATTAACCGGGAACAGACGGGGCAGCTATGTAGTATGAACAAATCTCAAAATTCGTCGTTGCTGTGCGAATGACCGCGAAGACTTTAGACCGGAACTCCAATGCAACAGGGCAACGCCCATTCCCATCTGTCAATCAGGACACAGAGCAGGAGGCGAACGTCGATAAAATGGGATACGACTTTTTTTAAAGTTGGCCCTAAAATCTCCCTCCTACGCGAGAAAATAAAATCAGTGTAGGCGAAAACGCATTACGTACGTAGATAAAATACTGCATACGCAGTTCCAAATTATGTACCCAAGCGTGCGCACAAACTGACACAAAATACGATAAACTATTCCATTGATACACTTGGATGTGTTTGGTACAATTGTTCCTTCTGGTGCGTTATTACTAGTGAGTTCCAGTGGAGCCTCGGGTGACGAGCAGCCCCATCTACGAGTATTTCAGGTAACAAGCGAGCCACTCGCACAAAATTTGTTTCAATTTACGAGCTTCTGCACAGTTAACGAGTTGTCACCGTGTGTGCGGACCTGTGGCCGCCGTTAAGTCCTGCTCCAGGGACGTGGGTCTTTGGTCACCTGCAGGCAATCAGTGAACTGATGCAGTTTGATTGGCTACGTTTTGTAAGACGAGCGTTTTACATAACCAGCTTGGTGCTATAGCGGATTAACCTCCTTAAAGAACGTTCCATTGTACTTTGCTCGGTAGCATCCTACTTTGGGTCACAGAAAAGCACGCGAAAGCCCCAGCCTTCTGTAATACGGAACCGGGTGTAATAAAGTGTATCCACTCTGGATCATACAAAGGAAAGGGAATATAAATTTAAAAAAATTAAATATAAATAGTGAACATAATAATGAACTGAAAACTAAACTGCAAACTTAAATTAAATATAAATAAGTTACATAAACCAAAGAAAATAAACTAACGGAAAGTCGTTGCGCATGTAAATTGAAGTTGTGCGCGGCGCTTCGCGTCGCGAACTATAGTAATCTAACTCCAGGACTGTAAGTTTGGACGTCGGGTTAGTTGAATTATAACACCTCCTAAACACAATTTTTTAGGAATATCAAGACTCCCAATGAACTATAAAAATGTCCAAAATTTTTTCACACCCAATAAGTTGCAAGTGAGTAAGAAATGTAAGTAAATACGTGTGTTTATTTATGGCGCGCTATTTTGCTGCAAGTAATTACACGATTTAAATAATTTTTAGGACCTAAAGTAGGATTTCACCCTTTGCTATTTCACACCATCCCGATCTCAGTGTACCTTAACCCATAATGTCAGTCGTTACCGGTAGCGACGCCGATGGCTGACATTTATCACTGAACGCGGCGCCTAGGCACATCTTGTGTATTGATCAAAATACTGAGTGCACGCTTTTGAGGTCGGCCATTTTGCAGAAAGGGGATTGTTCGTTGCAGACCTTCAGACTTGGCTGAACGGGAAGCAGACTCCGCAAACGGCCGTTCATTCACTGTGACATTTTGACCGGCGCGAGCGATGACGCCCTCACACAGGGGTGGTGAACCCTCGTTAATTGGCGTACGCATCACAGGGACGCAGACTTTGCAGCCTCTGTCGCACTCTCCACCCACTCACCTTGCGCGCGCAAGACAATTTCAAGGCGACCTGAG